AATTATAACCCTGATTTAATCTTTAGTCTATAACCCTGATTTAATCTTTAATCTATAACCCTGATTTAATAACCATGGTTTCATCTAACCCTGATTTCATCTTTAGTCTATAACTGCTTTAATCTTTAATCTATAACCCTGATTTAATCTTTAGTCTATAATCCTGATTTCATCTTTAGTCTATAACCCTGATTTAATCTTTAGTCTATAACCCTGATTTCATCTTTAATCTATAATCCTGATTTAATCTTTAGTCTATAATCCTGATTTCATCTTTAGTCTATAACCCTGATTTCATCTTTAGTCTAAAACCCTTATTTAATCTTTAGTCTATAACCCTGATTTCATCTTTATAACTGTAATTTAATAACCATGGTTTCATCTAACCCTGATTTCATCTTTAATCTATAACCCTGATTTAATCTTTAGTCTATAACACTGATTTCATCTTTATAACTGTAATTTAATAACCATGGTTTCATCTAACCCTGATTTCATCTTTATTCTATAACCATGGTTTGGCATCCCCTTTTCTTTTTAATATTTAACCAGTTTCTCGAGGTGACTTTGGACTTTAGTCCCCTGATCCTGGCACCCCTCTGGTTTCCCCCCCTCCGTCACCCCCCCACCCCCACAAGTCAACTTTAGGGGTGCACCCAAGGGGGGAGGGGGAAACAGGGGGTGACAATCTGTTGGGATTGCAAAGGGCTGAGTCTTTGGTCCCCAAAATCAGGATTCCCCCCCCAAATCTTCCCTTCAGGGCAAAGGGAAATCTTCAATCAAAGACCCCACCCCAAAATCCTTCTTACCCCCTTCCCTCAACAATTCCGGCACCCTTCTTACCCTCCCCCCCCCATACAAGAGTTTGGGGGAGAAGGCCCACAAACAGGAGGGCATTCGCCTTCCACAGCCAACTCATCAAATATTTCTACAGTTGCCCACAGAAAGGGAGCGGGGAGCAGTGCGGCAGTTTGGAAACCGAAAGCGCATTCCATCAAATAGCTTTTTCAAAGAGAGTAACTAGGGGACCGAAGTTTCTGCCAAGCAAAATTCTCTTTTTTTTTTTAATATAAAAAGTTTTTTATTTTTATAACAACAACAAAAGCAAACAAATAAAACCTTCGTTCCGTTCAACAGTGAGTCAGTTGGGTACATATCTCTTTGTGCACATAGTAACATTATCATACATATTTTACTTATATATGTTTCTAATCCTTCTCATCAGTATTTTATATTATATATGTGTGTGTGTGTGTGTTGTGGCTCCGGGCTTGGATTCAGCTCCTGTGACTGATTTGAGTTCAAGTGAGGAGGACATGGCAGAAAAATATGAGCCGGCATGGCTCAGTGATTGGACTGGTAACCAGGATGAGGAGATGGACGTGACAAAGGAAGACAGACCTGATGTATTAGAATTGTCAGGACCTTTGACCTCCTCTGGTTCCTTATCTGATCAACAGCCGGGAATGGCTGACAGGGAAGTTTTGAGAGAGTCTTCTAGTGGAGATGAGAACTTGGAAAATTTGTGGTTAAATGTAAGGAACAGAAGACGTTTGAGAAGGCAAACTCAGCTGGGACGAAGGAGGAGGGCAAGTCAGTAAATTAGCACGTTGCCTCAATGAGTATAAAAGGACACAGCTGGGCTGGTACATTTTGCCAGGAACAAAGTGACTATTTGAGTGAGGACATTACAACAAGAAGCTCTGAGACTGGAGATTTATTGCCAGGACCGGTTTGCCGGACAGAGTAAAGATTTATGCTGTGGAATGAGATTTCTGCCAGCCGTTATCTTGTAAGACTTCTTTCTATTTGATTTAATTTTGAAACGGCCGCTTTCTGTTTTGTTCGTTTGAATTTTGAAGGGGAGTCATAACATATATGTATGGCATTCGGCTTTGCTCGGGTATTTTCCCACGTCATAGTAGTTGTGCTTTTAAAGTTGTAGCAAACATATATATATATTTGTTTTCTTAAGTTTTTGTGGGTACTTACATGTATGGCATTCAGCTTTGCTCGGGTATTTTCCCACGTCATTATAGTTGTGCTTTTAAAGTTGTAGCAACGTTTCGGCAGAATCTCATCTGCCATCATCAGGCTTCTGTATTGTGTCCGTCTGTTCGTCCGTAATTCACAGACGAACCCAATACAGAAGCCTGATGATGGCAGGTGAGACTTGATTAGGTGGGGGCTTGGCTGTGTTCTGATTGGTTGGGGATGTGTTCTCATTGGTTGGGGGTTTGGCTGTGTTCTGATTGGCTGGGGGTGTGTTCTGTTCAGCTGGGGGCTTGGTTGTGCTCAGGTTAGTCTCAGGTTAGAACACAGTCAAACCCCCAACCAATGAGAACACATCCCCAACCAATCAGAACACAGCCAACCCTCCAACCAATCAGAACACAGCCAAA